GTTGTGGGGATCATACAGCAACCTGAGCCTGACTGCTTTGTTGAAGCAGCCACTTAAAGAACTGAGCTAAGGGGCAGGTCCCCCACTGGTGTGGCATATGGTGCTGGGGATCGATCCCATGGTCCCTTGTCCCTGCCTAATCTTGCCTTAGCAGGCACTGTAGATTATTGAGCTATCTCACTGGCCTCTCAACTACAAAGGCTTTAGGTGGACCTAAGATTAGCCACTGGAGTCTGTCAGAAAGGACAGCAGTGGGGGAAGAGTAAAGGCAGGAGCCAGATCACACAAGATCTTTCAAAATGTGGGTAAAGGGTTTGGATTTTATTTTACGCACAGTGGTGCTTTTAGCCAGTGGAGTATTTTTAATAGAAGAGAGGTAGATTTGACATATATAGTAGAAAGGTCATGCTGTACAATGTGGAGTTTGGATTGTTAGGGATAAGAGTAGGAGCTGGGAGGCTGGTGTAGGCCAAGCTAGCAGTGTTAGTGCCTTAAATCATTGCTAAATGGTTCTCAATATTTTGGTTACATTTCCAGGAGAGTGATGGGAGTGAGAACTTGTGAATCTAGGTGTCTGTTTAGTGGTTCTAAGGGAGAAGTTTGCTGTATTGAGCCTCTACACTCTAAGCCTGAGTTGAAAGAACATCCCATCACACAGTTCTCATTATTGGCCATGGCGTCCTTAACAAAGGTCAGTGTATTTAGAAGATGACACTTGTAACTTTTGGACGTTTTGAACATAAACAGTTTGAAAATTACAAGGTAAATATTGAAAGTAATTTTTTTTTCCCCTAAAGATACTGGTCATTGGATTGAAACCATCCTTGAAAGTGTGGATGACTTTTCCCTATGGACGTGTGAGTATGCTTCTCCATCTTGTTAGCAGATAAGGAAGGACTGTGTCAGGAGGTTGGGAAAATGATTAGTAAAGGTCAAATTCTATGAGCTTGTCAAAAACTAGGAAGAATGGAAGTCAGTGCTGTACTCTGCTGATGTTTTTAGACCTACCTTAAGTTGACCAAAGTAGAATGAGCTGATGACTGGGAATCATGAGCTCTTTCTGCCTTTAGTGCTTTAAATGTATGTCTGGCTATTGTTTTTAACCTCAATGTGACAACCTGTATATTGCATCCTGGTGTTTTGTGGTTATACTAAACTTCATGCAGTTTCCCTAGTCTTATCTTTGCTCTTTTTTAAAAAAATTATTTATTTAATTTATTTATTTATTGTGTGTGCGGCCAGCTCAGCCCGCCTGGGGGCGCGGCTGGCAGGCATGTGGTGCTGGGGGATTGAACCGCGGTCCACGTGCTTTGCTAAGCTTGTTCTAAGTAGGTGCTTTAAGACCACTGAGCCATCTCACCAGCCCTTATCTTTGCTCTTTTAAGGGCAGTAATATTCCCTTATTGGATTTAAAGCTGAAGGGAAGATGAGCTATTGAGTCCCAGGCTTGATTTTCAGTGTTCGAAGGACATTTGTTTCGTGTGATGGCCATGCTGAAGCAGATCATACTCGCTCTCCTGCAGGGACACTGATGGCGTACATCCCACTGTAGTATCCAATATATATATTGCTGCCATGTATGCTTTTCTTAACGTCTACCTCTGATACATTATTTTAGGGGATGATACTTCTCAGAATGTACAGTTGGCCCTGCCTATATGTAGTTTTTGTTCTCATAGATTCAACCAATGATACATGAAGAATATTCAGAAAAAAGCAAATAGATAGTAAGTTTGAGCCTAGCATCAGCAATTTAGTAACTTAGACTCTGTCTCAAAATAAAAAAAAGACTAGAGATGTCACTCACTGCAAAGGCCTTGGATTTCACCCCAGTACTACAAACAAAACAAAACATCAAAAAGCCCCCAATTGCATCTATACTGAACATGTGCAGACTTTCTTGTTAACATTCTAGCCAAGGTAGTATAACTGTTTATGCTTAATTTATGTTGTATTATGTATTATAAGTAATCTATAGATGATTTAAAATGTATAGAAGGATGTGCATAAGTTTATGCAGATGCCATACAGTTTTATTAAGAGACGTGGTTACTCTGGACTTGAGTATTCAGGTTGACAGCTACTGAGGGCAGCTGTGTTATTTAGACCCCAGGTTCCCTTTTTCTGCTTGTGATCTTCTATTCTCTGTGTGAGGAAAAGTTGGTAGGATGGCTGGGAAAGTGGTGGTATGCAACTTGAGCTATTTCAGAAGGAAGAAAAATCATTCTTGTTTTCTTATTGGCACCCTGGGGATGCTGGGAACAAGGAAAAGCATTTCTGTCCTTTAAGGGGCAAAGTTGGCTGAGATTTCCATTAACTTTTGCTAGTTTAGCTTCATTGGTAATTGAGGTTTTTAGCAAGGCAGTGTATTTGCGTGTTTTCATATGTTCCATTGGTACTTTCCCCAACATTTTAAGTACATTTTAAAACAGAAGTGAAAAGGTGTTTTCATTAAATATGTGCATACCTGCCAGCAAAATTTTACTATTTCCATTTTACGGTACTTTCTTAGTAAGTCTGTGTACATTTATCTATTCATGTCTTAATCTACCCATCAGACTATATATTTAGATTTTTGTGTATTAAAGTAAGGTGCAGAAATGAATATTTTTCCCCCTAAGTGTCATCATCTACAGTTTTATTTTATTTATTTATTTATTTTTTAATGAGCAGAATATATTTATTGAGAGAAAGAAAGCTCCTGTCCAAGAGAGGGACAGGAGGGGGTCCCGAGCGGGTAGTTCCCCCGGGAAGCTGTCTCTTCCAGGGACTTTTATAGTGTAAAACCATGTGGGGCAAAGGTGGAGAGAATGGGAACTTTCTTAGGTGGGCAGGAGGTGGGACAAAACTATGGTCAACCAATGGGATTACAAATGGGACAGAGTCTTTTCCTGTTGGGGGTTGGAATGCAGGATAGGGTCTCTTTCTGTTGGGGGTTGGGCTAGTGACTCACTTGGGTCTCTCCAGGTGATTGATACCTATTTAGAATCTCAATCCCAGGTGCTGCTCCTTTAGCATTTGTTTGGCCTTCAGGTCTTTAGGTCTTGCTCACAGCAGGAGCATCCGCCCCTCCCACAGTTGTAAGGCATCTCATCTTGTGTGCTGTCTCCTTTGAGGGCCTGGCCCTGTCTGACTCTCTATAATATTTTTTATCTAACTCGGCTGCCTCAGTTTTATTTTTTTAGGGTTTTTTTGTAAAATTTATATATAGTACTACATGAATCTTGAGTGTACTCTTGCTGAACATTGGTAGATGTGTACAGTTTTGTAGCCCAAACCCTTATCAAGATACAGAGTCTTACCATCAACCTAGAAAGTTATCTTATAACCCTGCCCAGTCCATTCTTGCTTTGTTGGAATTTTTAGGAGAAACCTAGAAAAGTTTTTATCAAGGAGGACTAGTTGTAAGCTGCTTGTGAGTAGTTTTTGCCTTGTCTTTCTGTTAGTATGATAAGGTATTCTTCCTTCTTTCTTCTTTAGTCTTTTCTTTGTGGTACTGGGGTTTAAACTCAGGGCTTTGTGAATTTTCTTCTTTTTTAGATGGATCCTTCCAGTGTTCCATTGCTAGCCTGGCACTTTGTGGCAGTACATAACTGTGTGAACCCTATGCTTGCTTTCTGTAGAGGAGATATTGTTCATTTTCTACTGGTAAGTTATAACATAGTGGGTCTATTACAAAGTCTTGTATCATAACATCTTTTTTTCTGACTCACCAGTAATTGAATATTGTGTCAAAGAAGTCTATTTTAATATCACAAACCTTTGGAGACAGAATATTTAATTTTATTTAAGACATTAATGGTTAACATAGAAAAAATAATCACTGTCACTCTCAGCTCTATAATATTTTATGATTTCTTAATTCTATCTACTTTGGACTAATAATGAGTTATTCATGTGTATAAATATGAGTGTGCGTAATCTCTATTAGTGCTATCTACATATGTATCCGTGTATTTATTAGGAAATAATTATCATTCAGTACCTGCTGTGATCTTTACACATTGATAGAAACAGAAAGCAAATGAAGTATAAAACATTTCTTTTATGCAGTTTATACTGTTTGAAAGATAATATGAGCATATTTGTTACCACTACTGAGAACAGTTTAAACATTGACCTATTTGACGAGAATTAAAGGTTGATAAATTAGAGAGCAAAGAGATAAGAATGCTGTAGAGAAGGTTTGGAAGACTTGGTAAGGACTTAGAGGAACAAAGATGAAGTGAAGTCAGAACTGAGCACATGCTGTGTAATCTGCCCTCAGATTCCTAGCTCGGGGGAGCAAGTCCACTACAGCTCACCTGGTCTGTGCAGCCCAAAACCTACGTGTTGCCTTTCAGCCACCTTTCTCCTTTCAGTTGAGTTGCATCACCAAGTCCTGTTGACTCAACCTCCAGAGGCTCTTGACTTTTTCTGTTGCTGCTTCCTCAGTCTGAACTGCATCTGCTGTGCTTGTTTCAGCTGCACATCTACAAAACTGTGGGTCTTCCTGGGCTAGCTGCTGTATCAGCCCCTCAAGTAGTCTGGCTTCAGTGCTTGTATATGCTGTTGCCTCTGTCAGGAAAGCACTGATTTCTGTACTCATCTTAGCTCGTGGTTAACACTGTCTTCTGTGATCCTCTGAACTCTTACTGCTTCCTATTATATGCTCCCATAAGACCTTTTTAAAAGTAATATTCAACATTTTAAAAATTATTTGTCTAATATTTTTTTCCTTACTTGGCTGAAAGCTCTGAAAATGTGTAGACCAACTGTACCAGTCTATTTCTAGCCACTAGAACAAAACCTGTATGTAGAACATGCTTAATAAATACATATAGAATTAATGATAGGGAGAAATCTATGGTAGAACATAAAATTGAATATATGAGGTAGATCTAGAGTAGATGTTAGCAAACTGAGACCTGTCAGCCAAATTTTTTTTTTCTTTTTGGTGGTACCAGGGATCAAACTCTCAGGACCTTACGCTTGCCAGGCAAGCACTTATTCCACTGAGCTATCTCCCTAGCCCCATATCAGCCAAATTTTAACTACTTGTTTTTGCAAACAAATTCTTAGTAGAATACAGTCTTTTCCATTTGTTTATATATTTTGATTACTTTCTCACTGCACTAGTGGAGTTGAGATGATAGTGTATGGTCTGCAGAGCCTAAAATAACTTACAGATAAACTATGTCAACTATTGATATAAGATTTGGCCTAGATTGGTAATGGGGAACCATCACAGGGTCTTAGGTAATTAAAATGATAAAGATATGATTAAATGATATTTTGGGAAGATCAGTCTAGAAGTAACCAAAAGAAAAGATGATAGAAAGGAAGAAAATTGAAGATTTTGCTCTTAATAAAGCTGGTGTGAGGTACTTAAACAAAGGTGGTTGCTTGTGTAGTGAGTTAAGAGATCTTGAAGTAAAAGGCATGAATGAAGCATATCTTTGCATTTTAGAATGAAAAACATTAAAAGGGAGAATGTCTTTGTAGAAAATGATAAAGAGGCTATGGGTGCAATTCAGTGGGAGAGTGCTTACATGGCTTGTACAAGGCCTTGTGTCTTATCCCCTAAACTAAAAATCAACAATGAAAAAATAAAAAATGAAAGAAAGGAAAGAAGAGAAAAGAGAAGAAAGATTGAGCTGAGTGTGTTAACTTGGAAATGAAGCTGAGTATCAGGGATGTTCTCTAAGTAAATGGCAGGTTTGACATACAAATGAGAATTTCAGGGTAGAGAAAATAGTTGAAGCTCTGAAGATCAAAAGTTACAGCATACCTGATTTATGGAGCTAGTGTTCTGTTACTGTAACAAAGTCACATAGGTAATCAATTTAAAAGAGGGCAGGTTGATTTTGGCTTACAATTTTGGAGCTTCAGTCTTTGGCTGTGTGGCCCAAAGGCTGTGTAGCCTGTGATGAGGCAGTGCGTCATGGTGGTAACATGTGATAGACCAAAGGTGCCACCTTAGGCTGGCAATGAAGTGAAACAAAAGGAGAGAGGAAGGGTGGGTCCCAATAGCCCCTTCAAGGGCACACCCCTCTCTCACTGTCCTAACTTCCTCCCTCCCTTGAGCACCTTACCTCCAAACCCCTATCCTATACTGGAGTTTGAACCCAAGGCCTTTGCACTGTCCTACATCCCTGCTGTTTGTTTTACTTTTTATTTTTGAGGTAGAATCTGGTTAAGTTGCTAAATTGGCTAAACTCAAATTTGTGGTCTTCCTGCCTTAGCCTCCTAGAGTGTTAGGATTACAGGTATATACCACCTTGCCTCACTGAGCCCAATCTCTTGAAGATTGCATTATCTTACAATAGTGATGGTCAATCTTTTAATACATAGACTTTTGGGGGATATTTATACAAAACCTAGCACATGACCTTGGTGAACACTCATACAAAGGAAAAGAAAAAGAAAGGGAAACAAGAAAGGCACAAAGAGGTAGGGGAAATGGGGCAGTATGGTCTGACACAGGCAACAGAAGGAAAACCTCCAGTACAGTATCATTCCAGGGTCATGCTAATAGCAGAGCAAGATTAAGAAAGAAGAAGATCAAAGAGAAGACAACTGTATGTAGCAAGTAGTAGTTCTTTAGAACCTTTTTAGATACCTACTTATGAGTGTGGGCTGGGAGTAGAAGTTAGATTGTAGAGCTTTATTAAAGAAATAGTTCTCCACATGAACAGACTTGGTATGTTTACATAGTGCCTATAAGAAGTACATTAAAGAAAGCTTTTTGGGGAGTTGTTTGATTTTTGTTTTTATTTTGAAGATGGAGAATTCAGAAACATACTGGAGGCCAAAAGGAAAAAGTCCTTTCAAGAGGAGTGACTGAATATGCCAGCAGAGGAGGAATAACATTAAACTGGTGTGGTGGAGGGGAGGAATTAGAGTTTATAGAAGTGAAGTGATTTTCTTTAAGGATTTTAGAAAATCTTAGGGGAATAGGTAATGTTGGCATTGATCTTCCAAGTTTATGAAACACTTTCAACATATGTAGCATATAAAACCACTTGGTATTGACTTGTTTTCATTTTACAGATGTGGAGACTGAGAAAGTATAAGTGATTGCCCTTGGTCACACAGCTGTAATAGTGGAACTTACACTTAAACACATGGCTCTAGATCTTACTTTCATTTTACCAGAACATCCTTTCTGGTAGGGCAAGTGATTTAGTAGACAGTGCTATGTGAAAGGCCTCACATGAAGCGGCCTTGGTTTTTCATTAAGGTATCCAGTTAGGTTACTGTAAGTGATGGGATAGGATGGCAAAGTGGAATTGAGACTTAAAGACACCAAGTGCAGCCCTGAGGGCCATGTGCAAGGAAACAAACTGAATTGAGCATGATGAATTTCAGGTGGCCAGGTGTATCTTGTGCTTTATCTTTTTTCTTCAACATTCTATTACCTTAGAACAGAAGTGGAGAAAGTAAATTAGAGGGATGATTGGGCATTATATAGTGTGTATGTACACACATACAAATAAAGTACTAATATTAGAGATCTTCTTGGAAAATTTTGGGTTATGTAAGCTATAATACTATTGTTCACAAAAGGCTAGTTTTGCTAGTGTAGCTGCTGCTGCTTCTCTTTCTTTTATCTTCTTCCTCTGCCTCCTCTCCTGTTCCTTATCTTCTTTCTCTTCCTTTTCCCTGTTTTTAATAAACTTTGTTTGGCTTATATCATTTTCTACTCTAGCTAAATATAATTTTTTTTTTTAATGTATTTAGTACAGGGTCTACTGGGTCTCACTATGTAGTTTGGACTCATATTGATTCGCCTGTTTTCAGCCTCCCAATTGCTAGGATTTTAGGCATGCCACCATGCCTAGTCTCAATCACTGTCTCAGTGTGCCCCAGGGGTGGGGCCAGCACGGCATGCCCAGGGATCGAACCCCAGCTGCTGTGCTCTGCCTAAGCAGGCACTTTAGTCCGCTGAGCTATCTGGCCAGCCCCAGAAAGGTTTTTAAAAAATTTTTTTAAAGATTTTTTTTTTTAAATTAATTTTTTTTTTTTTTTTTCCCTTCAATACTGGGGATTGAACTCAGGACCTTGCACTTGCCAGGCAAGCGCTTATTCTACTGAGCTATCTCCCCAGCCCTAATATAATTATTGATATGATGAAGTTAGGTTGTTTTGACTTATGACAGAAAAGTCAAATTACATTGTGACATTTGCCAGTACAGACAAGTATACCACTAGTCACACATGTCTTGGATTTTGGTACAGATCATAGAGAAAATGATCTTTTTCACTTATGAAATAGTTTCTCTGATTACCTTTTTTTTGTTTGGTTTATCTACATTGAGCAGGTAATTATGTCAAATATAATTAAAAAATTTTTATGTATTTATTTGGTACAGGGTCTTGCTATGCAGCTTAGACTTGTAGTGATTTTTCAGTCTCAGCCTCCCTAGTGCTAAGGTGTGCACCACCATGCCCAGTTTCAGTGGCCAGAACGGTGTACAGTACTGGGGGTCAAAGCTGGGTCTTTGCGCTTGCCAGGCAGGTGCTTAGACTGCTGAGCTAACTCCCCAGCCCTAATTAAATATTTTTAAAAGTCCTTTAATAACTGATGCTTTGATTGTCTTCATTTCATTGTCAGGTTAAGAGAGATGAATCTGGAGCAATACATGTTACAAAGCAAAAGTATCTTCACCTGTACTATGATCTCATCAACTTTACAGTGAGTTTTGTTCAAATTAAATGTTCCCATTTATTTCATGTGGTTATTTTGCATCCATTGTGCATTAAAGCTACCAGAATTTCTTTCATGAACTATGACCACTAAGTTCAATATGAATGTAGAAAACATGAAGTACTGCTTATAATAATCAAGTAAGGTCTGAGTTCGTTATGGTGCCACATAATTACCATCTTTTGGCTGGAGATTCTTCTGAACACTGGAAGGATTATGCCTCTCACAGTGAGTTTGTGTTTAGAAGAATATAGGTAGGCTTATTCAGGATCATTTATCTACTATTTCTAGAAACACATTTGTGTACTCCTGAACTTGTCAGGATTTATGTTTCTAATTCTTTTCTTATGCCAAAAAACTTGGTTGAATTTTATCTGTATGTTACATCTCAGTCCTGAGTGACATCTTGGTTTAAAAAATTGAAGATTGATTGATTGATTGCTTTCTTTTCTTTCTTTCTATGTGTCTGGTACAGGGTCTCACTATGCCCCTCAGACTCATAGTGATCCTCTTGTTTTTAGCCTCCTAAATCACCATGCCTGGTCTTAGTGGCTGGTTCAGCATGCCTGGGGGTGGGGCTGGCACAGCCTGTGGTGCCAGGGATCGAACCCTGGTCCCTGCTCTTGCCTAAGCAGGTGCTTAGTCCACAGAACTATCTTGCTTGCCCCTGAAGATTTCATTTTGTATCAGAGTTTTTCTTTTTCAGATAATGTGTTAATTTTGAGAATAGCATGGTTATACTATTTCTGGGCTTCTGTCATGACTGGTTTTAGCATAAAAGTATCTGGTATCCATTGAAGGTTTGTATATGTGCATGAATACATTCAACCCTAAATAGAAGGAAATGGCTCATTTTTCCCATATAAAAAACCTTATTCTTTCCTTCCAACTTGATAACATAGAATTTTTCAGGATATAGTATTTTATTTATAATATATGGATTACTAATTTAGTCACGCTTTTTTTTTTTTTTGATTTTTATTTATTTCTCCATGTGAAAATTTGCATGGGTTTAGGTACACAATTTCTGTACAAGTATAGGCAGACATCATCAGATTTGTACTACCACATACATATGTTATATTTGTGTAGTATTTCAAAGCTTGTAGACCAAAAACGTTATTTTTTTTCAATAATACACTGCATACATTCTTCCCAGTGGTTAATTGCTGTACAAGATGCAGACCTGTGATCCTACTTACACACACCATTAGAACA